TGCAATACCGGATCATGGACTGAGCTCGCCGCCAGGTGCCGGGCCTTTCTAATATATTCTTGTACACTCCGCCCGAGACTGTCAAGTTCGCAAGCGACCATAAACCCTGATGAACGTTTTAGTCACTCACGGCTTAGTGCTTGGACTATATATTGAGATCAAGAGAAAGCTCGAATGTCAGATACATAGTATACTGATATACGGCAAGCTTTGCTACCGCCTCTTGAACACCAGAGGCATCCGGATAGGCCTAACGTCAAGACCGTCAGCATACTGTCCAACCAACACAGTGAGCATCGCACTCACGTTAACGTCAGACCCCCCTTTGCATGGAGGATCCGCTCCTTACGCTCCTCGAATGTCTCTCCAGCGAACTCTGGCTCCTCCTTGACCTCAATCGTGTACCGTGAGACGAGCATAGTCAAGATCGCGATGCCCTCGGTCTCGAAAAACCTGATATATGCGCGTTAGAGTGGGTTGCGAGAGGTTCAAAGGCACACGCACCGGCGTCCGAGGCACGACCGCGCGCCAGAGCTGAAGGGTAGGAACGCGTCGCGCGGCCAGTCACCGTGGAACCGCTCCGGCTTGAATGCGTACGGATCTTCCCAGTAGCGGGCTAAGGGGCGATGCGTCCGCGTCAGTGTGGCTAAGCGTAGCCGATGCATGGGAGCGTACGGTTATAGTGCAAGCCCGGAATGCTCAGCGTAATGCCGCTGCCTTGGGGGATCGGGACGACGATCTTGTTACCGCTGCTGTCGGTAGTGACGAGCGTGGCGTCCTCGGCGGCGTATTTGGGGACAACGGGCGCCTAAGGAATTGCATAAGAATATATGCCTTCCAGCGATGCTGCGGACGACTTACAGGTGGAAACAATCGGAGTGTCTCATAGAACACGCTGAGGTACATGCATGAGCGGCTGGGGTAGATTCTCAGTATAGTGTACGTACGCGATTGACTCGCTCAGCGAGTTCATCTCTTGGTAGGTCTGTAGTTAACAATCAAGATATTAGCTCCGGACACCTGAGAACCTGATCTGGGCACTTGCCGGTAGTCTATCATCGGGAATGACGCTCTTGATGTGTCGATATAGCTTCTCCTGTTGCTCGGGATACAGCGCAAGTAACCCAAACACGAAGCACAGTGTGTGTGCGGTGGTCTGATGGATATTCAGTTAACCGTCTTGCCTCAGGCACTTCGTTTAATACTCACTTCGTGACCAGCCAGCAGGAATATGAAGATATTGCCTGAAGATCTAGTGAGCACCGTGTTCTAAGAGGTCGAAGTGAGGAATGCTAACCAAGGAGCTCCTGATCCGTAAGCTTCGCCTGACCGTCCGACTCGTCCTCGCTGGCGTCCAGCAATCCACTGAACAGGTCATATCGCTCCTCTTTCTCCTCGGCGTATCGTCGGGCATGGATCATCTCTAGCATATATTGCTGCGCGATAACATCAGTACATAACTTAGCACCGCAGTAATGAAACACATGCCTCGAGCTCCTGGAAAGCCGTGCTGGCCCGTTTCATGCGCTCTGTCAAGCCCAGCTTCAGGAGCCAGCCAGGGGTTAAGAGCTTGACGAAGATGTCTAATGAGACGTAGTGTAGAGCTTCCTGCGAACTATTTCGTTAGACATGAAGGAGGTTGACGACAGGAAGCCCCTTGCCTTGAAGGTCATGCTGTGGCCTGGGGGAAGTTTGCCGTCTTCCTGCCAGGTCATCCGCCTGCCGAAGCCAGCGACACCGATGACGAAAAGTGCAATCTTCGTATACATGTCAGCCAAGTTCGTTAGCACCAACGAAGGTATGAGGACACACCGGCAGCGTGATGTCGACCGCATGATCCACCGTGATGGACTTCTGTTCACCCCAGACGTTCTCGAACAGGTCGGCCATGATCTTCACAGTCTCCTCCCAGACCAACCTATTGTTGCGCTGAATACCACGACGTGAGGAGTGGACCCACAGGACAAATGCAAACAGACAGACCTCGGAGAATGCAGGTGCGGCAATCTTCCTATAACGCTTCCAATCTTCTCCTTCCGATGCAACAATATTTCCGCCAAAGTAAGACAGCACTGCGTATTGTTCCACTGGCTTTGGGAACTGGGTACGGGATGCAGTGATCTCCTGTAATTTGGTGGGTACTGCAGTAGATACGCTTCAGCTGAAAGACGCATACCTTTATTGCCGCTGCATCAGCAAGTATAAATTCGTTGTATGCCACTGGGAGGGCGGAGGCCTATTCTTAGAGCATGTGAGTAGAAGTGGGGAGGTTGTACAGCGTATCTCACCGAGCTGATTATGTCTATGCCATATTCTTCGAAGACCTGATGTTTCCTGTACCAAAGATTCATCCCGCCTCTAGTTATTCCGCGTATTGGCTTCATGAATATAATGGCGAGCACGCCTTGTGTCGAGAGGAGTGTGCGGTAGCCAGGATGGTCACTTGAGAACTTTGTTAGCAATATTGTCTCCCGCCGTTTCGGAGCTGCAACACACCGCATGGGTTTGATAACTGCACGGTATTCAACATATTTCTTGACGCAGTAGAGCAGGAAGATGGACAGCAGGACCGAAAAGATGGTGCCCATGCCGTCGAGTGGTGTATCGTAGCTATGCGAGGGTAAAGTCAATGTCCACGCCCCTGCGCAATTCGGAGGGTAGTTATGAAGTGACGGCGGAGATTGCCAGTAAGCGTCCGTGTGTAACTGGGTCCGGGGCGTGGACCATTGCCTCTTGCGGCTATCTCTCAGAACTCAAGCAAACGGCCACGCTGCCAGTCGTGGGCTTTCTCGAGAATTAGAGTTCATGTTGGTACGGATGTGGTTGATGGTTGGCACACCCAGCAGCTAATCGTCGTCCCTGGGCTTGTGCTTCTGCTGAGGCACTAGGACTCTGAATATTACACCCAGACGTGAAGCGGCTAGTGAGCAAGCTTGCGGAGAGCTGCTCTGGGCAAGCGAGGAAGTGCAGCCTAATTGCCCGAAAGGTTCAGAAAGGTTGGCGCCGGCGAGTGAGACGCGTCAATCAATCCTTTCCTCGGGTCGAGATCTGATGGCACTCGGGGCCCAGGCACGGAGCTGCGGATCACAGTCTGCAAGCGCATAGAACTCCTTTATTCTGTGAAGATATAATCGCAGTATCACTACCAAGCAATATTGTAGATGATGCAGTTGGGGCGAGATTGTGTTCGGGAAAGCGATCCATAAATCGTGCTCCTCGCCGCCCAGTGAGGCCGAGCGGCATTCTGGGAAAGCGAGCATGAGCATTCCCACATATTAGCACGTGGGAAGAAGTAACACATGTTAGCGCTATGCATTGTCTCATTCGAGAGATCTTACAGCTTGGGTTGGTGATAGATCTTGTAGCCAAGGGAGCGTGACCTCATCAAGCCTGACATTTCCGATTTGTTTCACTACATGTTTCACTACCAGGGTCAGCAACTACCACGCTGGCGTCGCAGCTCTAACGAAGATTTTCGTCGAGAAGACATCGAGCGTATGTTGAGTTCAGGCATCATACGGGGCTGGAGAGCTTGCCGTAGCTGCAACTTTGTGAATTGCGGGGACGTTCAAACTGTCTTTCCGACAGACGTGCCGTGCGAAGCCCGCCACGTTAGTTGGGGAAAGGACAATGACGATCTACTTAGTCGCAGGTGTCAAGCTGTGGGTCCCCAACTACGGAAGCAATATGTAAGTTAGAAGCAAAGTACGATTGAGAGCACGGGACCAGCAGCGTGGCCACGATCACGATCTTTTCCTTACGGTATTCGTCGTTTCCTCCCGGACAAGGGGGTTATCGCGCTGTTCTATGCGAGCAATTTGTCCTCCAGCAGAGGCCGGGAATGGCCACCCTGAGCATAGATCCAGGCAAGCCGAGCGGCAATACAAGAGCTCGAGAGCTTTTGCGCCGGTGATATTCACGTGTGCCGGGTGCAAAGGGTTCGCTGCTGGGACCATACACACTTATGCAGTCTTGCGGAATATTCCTGCAATGGCAGTCGCAGAACATTGACAGCCCATATGTCAGGATGACAAGCTCGCGGAATCATGTTCATTACACTAGTCAAAACTGATCAATGCGGGAAGTCTAAAGAGGACAGCTATCGGAATTGCAAGTAGGACGTGCATGGCACTCAATGCCGCATCTAACACATTTGGTGCAAGTATACGGATGTGAAGTGCCGCCGAGAGCTCCCGTGGGTCAACAGCCGAATGTATGTATGATAGAAGCAGACGGGAAGGGATCGGCGTAGGCTATGGATTATGGTTCGCATAGTATCAAGACATGCCCAGCATGACGAAGCGCAGTGTGCAGAGCCATAGTCCCCTTTGCCTCCGAGTCAAGCTCTCCCTTGTAGCTTATCCAGGCATTATGATAGTCTCGAGAGCTACTAAAAAAAACCGGCATATGTGCTACACCGCGTGGGTATTGAAACCAAGAAATAAGCTAGGGTATGTACGCGAGCAAAGCGCGAGCCAGATGTTCCAGCATAACGACTATTCAAGACGACATGACGGCAGAGATGAGATGGTATACGAAAATAGGAAAATAGAGATGATCCACAGCAAGAGGCACATAGAAAATTTATACAGGCGCAGCGAGAAGAAGTGAAAGCAAGGCCAGAGAAAGGGGACTGTCGGAAGCGGCGACGCCCCATGAGCCTGAATGGGCAAGAATTCTGCCGCACGCGCCGCGCCGGAGGCTCAGTGACCTTCCTCCAGATGAGGATATGCACCCGCACTTTGTTCGAAGGCTTGCCTCATAGCAGATCTGAGGCCGAGATGTAAGTTGCAGCCTCTATCGTATAATCACATCTGGTCGCTCACTATTATTATGGGTGCGGTATGTGAATGCGGCGCATACTCTGCCATTCGTTACACACGCCGACGATGATGTCCATCTAGAGCCTTATCACCAAGCGTTCACAGAGGCGGCGTCTCTGTACAGTGTCAGTGATAGCCACTCACCGGCTGCGCATGCCTCTTGGCGAGGCGTCCGGGGCGGACCGCTGGCTCGGTCTCACCAGGGCGACGCGCGGGCGGCCATCGAGAATCAGGCCCTCGCTCCCAAATTCGAGCAACGATGATCGGTCGACGCATGTTGTGCAATATTAATGATGTCGTATAGTTCAAGTTTTACGGCGAAATGGCGATGATAGCGAATTTGTTGGAGTTAAGAGTGTACAGTCATGGCCTGAGGGAAGAGAATACGTGCTAGGGTGCGGGGTGCTTATACTTGCCGTCTAATGTGGTATAATGCCGTGAAAGGCTGCAAAGGCGGCTTTGGTGGCCGCGTTCGGCAGAGGTTCAGCTCGATAGGAGTCATCGCCGCTGCCATGCTGTGAAGAACAAAGAGAAAACGACACATAATTAGCATTACAGAGACAGACCATGCACTCGGCTTACCAAAATCAAACCGTAGGCTTGTGCCAGCAGTGCTATTTGCGAGTGTAAGCCTGCGGAAATCGAGCATCGGAGACTTTCCGATTCTGCTGATCCGCCATCAGCATCAAAGCGCCCATTCGATATCCTCTCGTCGAATTTTCTCCTCACATCTTGCCGGTGCTCTCCTTGCCACTGGTACACTGCATGTAGCTGGCACCATCCACGACGCTCGTGCCTCATTTTCATTCTTGTTGTCCGGAAAGCACGAGGTATTCATTCCCGCAAGGCGCTATCTGAGTAAATGTAAGTTAAAACTTGTGCGAGAATCCGAGATCGAACGACCAACATCCAAAAAATTGCCAGGGTTGGCAAAGACACATGTGGCGAGTGTATTACCTGAAATTCGCCCACCGTGATGACAGGCCCGGTAGCAGTAAAAGGGTGCAGACTGGTGTAGATCATGGAGCACGGTTCCCACAGAGATCGCGCATTCACAGCTCATGTGCCGGAATTACAATTCCTGCTGTGCACCTGGGACAATATTGTTCATCGTGAGACGCAGGTCATGCTATGCTTGAGTTTGATGTCCGCTCTCTCTGCCCTGTGAGGCGTTCGAGCCGGTCAGAGGTGATCAGGGGGCGGCTGCAAAACGCCTGGACCCCTTGCACCGTGTTTCAATGACCGGAAGCACTGCGATCAGGAATTCGGCCAACTCCGTCGTAGGGCCTATATAATGCGGAAGGCGACCACGACGCCTACCACTACTTCCTTTCCTCTGAGTCTCGCAATTCACCAAAGCGCAAGTAGCCTGCGAACCTTCACTTAGGGTATACGGTAGAATATACCTCTGCGATGACATGTCTGATTCATATTTTAGAGAGCAATATTGATGACTCAGCCCGAGGGTGAAACTTCGAGGGGTCCGGGACCCCGCCTTCCCACTGAACTCTACAGGCATATCTTTCAGTATGTCTCCTCCAAGCGGGACCTCTGCAATCTGAGCGTCTTGTCCCGCGGCCTTCAGAACGAGGCTGAGTTCTTTATCTACCACTCCGTCGATTCTTCTCGTCGAGCACATACCGAATATCTCTGCGACCTCATTACGTCTTCGCCACACAGACACACGCTCGTTCGTTCGCTGAGTATCTCCAACGATGACGCGGGCGCCCGCGTTTCCGAGGCGAAGGACCGCGAATATTGGGAGCGCATCGCACGGCTTCTGCACGACCTGCCGTACCTCGAGGAGCTCAAGATCCACGACAATATGTCTGTCCCGACGGGGAACAAGAACGCTTGGGTGCTGTTGCGCGGCACGTTTTCGCTTCGCCACTTTGACTCCGACTTTGTCTTTGATGAGAGCCTGCTTGAGTTCCTATGCTCCCAGCGGTCACTAGAACGGCTGTACTGGATAGAGAGCTTCTCGGACGACGACTCTGCGCGCGCTATTGCCGACATGGACATCGTTGGGCCACACTCCGGCTCGAAGCTTGCACCCTCGGTTTCCGTCCTGAATACGAACAGCCCGCGCTTTGCTCTGAAATGCATGTCCGCCGCGATATTGAGCCATCTCTGGATTTGCGGGCCGTGCGCCTACGAAGACGACGGCTGGATGAACTATGTTGCGCAGTTTGTGGAAAGCGGCGGTGCGAAGAGCCTGAAGTCGTTACGCATGAACCTGCCGTATCGGAAATCAACCCTCGTTTCGGTGCTTGGTGCGCTTGTCAAGGGAGCGCCGGAGCTGCGCTCGTTGGGATTTGTGCCCATCTTCAACGCATCTGTAAGAGATCCTGCTAGCATCCTAACTCATGGTGTACTGAAAACATGCTTTTCAGGACCGCGACCTCATCGATGTTCTCTCGCAATTCAAGCACCTCCATTCGCTAATTACCTGGAATGTCATTGGCCGAGAAACATCCCGCGCCGTCGCTCAAGCTTGTCCCTCGCTTCGCCTTGTCGCCGGCTTGCATTACTCATATTCTCACGAGTACGTTATTTTCCCTGTTAATCCCTTAGGCACCCCAAGACCGCTGCACGACCCCGAATACTTGTTGTGGAGAGGCGTCTAGGAGATCTGCTGTTATCTTATCTCTTGACGTCAAGCTCAGGCCGGACTGTAATCTGATCGGCATGCGATCGACGACGATGTCGTCGATGCATCCGCGACGTCATCGAGTTTGGCGTCGAATATATAAGATTCGACGTTGCACAGCATACCCTGCAGAGACCAAGACCACGACCACGACCACGACGATAGATATGGCTCAGCAGCATCAGAATCTCTTTCGTTTAAAGGGGTTTGTCCAGCAGTACGACTGGGGCAAGAAGGGTTCGGCGTCGCTCGCTGCACGACTCTCATATAACGCGCTCGGGCTCGATTTTCCTGTCGAGCTGGACAGCCCATATGCGGAGGTGCGAGTCGTTATTGGTTCTACAGAAAACCCTTTGCTGACGGTGCTCTATAGATATGGATGGGCACGCACCAGAACGGCCCAGTGCACCTCTTCGATGACCCCATCAAGTCGTTGCACGACGTCATCTCCTCCAACCCGAAGATCTATTTGGGCGACACGCTAGTGAAGAAATGGAAGGGTGAAACACATGTACCCTTTCTATTCAAGGTTCTGTCTATTGAGAAAGCTCTACCGCTGCAAGTCCACCCGGACAGGGCCCTTGCCGAGGAGCTCGCGAAGAAGGATCCGAAGACATTCGTCGACCCCAATCACAAACCAGAGATCGCGGTCTGCATTGGCGAGCAGATCGACAGCGGTTCGTGGGGCAACGGCGTAGCCTTCACGGGTTTCGTCGGGTTCCAGCCTCTCGATGACATCAGCAAGAGCATTGTCTCTGTGCCCGAGCTTCGGCAGGCGATCGGCGACGACAAAGTTGTTGACGCATTTGTCGAGGAACCGTCGAAGAATATACTCCATAGGCTTTACGGCGTGCTTCTTAGTCGCCCTCAGAATATCATCACACCGCTCGTTCATTCTCTCGTCGACCGCACCTCGAAGGACCCCGTTGCCTTGGAACCAGAGACCGTCCGCCTCCTCCGCAAGGTGAACGAACAGTACCCCGGTGACGTTGGTGTGCTTTCGATTGTATTTTTCATGAACTTCGTGAAACTCAAGCGCGGCGAAGCGGTGTACATTGGCGCAGACGAGATCCACGCGTACCTCGAGGGTGACATCATCGAGTATATGGCTATCTCGGATAACGTGCTCAATACTGCACTCGTCCCACCCGAGGAACGTCAGACGGCCGACTTTCTGCGCGCCTTGACGTTCACATCTCGAGATAAAGACTACTGGCGGCTCCCTCACAAGCCGTACTTCAAGAGCCAAAACGGGTTCACACAGGTGTATGACCCCCGATCGAGGAGTTTATCGTCTTCGGGACGCATTTGGAGGGCACGCAGCAGGAGACGTTGGCGGCCGTGGACGGACCGACGATTGGGATCGTGACCGAGGGCACGATGAAAGTCGCAGTCAAGGGCCAAGTGTTGGACTTAAAGCAAGGCTCCATTGTCTATGTCGTTCCGGGCAATGTGATCCTTCTAGAGCTCGCACCAGTGGATGGACGGGCCAAGGGCGAGATGTGGTGGGCTGCCGCCGGTGTTTGAACGGTGTTAGATAGAGCGAAGCGCGGATCTTAGGCAGTGGAGCTGTGCATGCTTATTACTCACGGACGCCGTTAGTGATTCGGGGGCACGATTCATTGAAACTTCAGTTGCACTCCCCCGCACGACGATTCCAAGAAGACACGATAAAAAAATTAATTGAATAGGAGAAGTAAGCTTCAGGGTAAGCAGATAAACACGAGCTTGTTATGGCGTCAAGTAACTTCCGTATAGAGTCACCGGATAATAACATTATTTCACGTGCCGTCCGCGGGGAGACTCATTAGGGAGCGTCTCCTGCTGCCTTACACTACGACCTCCACCATGGCCTCGACACCCTCAGGCTTGACGTTGCCAGTGCTTGCTTTGCCACATCCTTTGATCCTTCTGCCGACAGGACGGATAACGCTCCCGGTCTCCAAGGCCGTCGGCGAATCGTTGCTCGCGCTCGTTCGCGGGTCTGACGAGCAGCCTCTGGTTGCTGCGGTCCCGCAGACCGCCTCGCCAGAGACCGCGCTCTTCCCATGGGGCACAGCGTCGCGCATCGTGCGCCTCATCCGGCCTGCGACAGGCAACCTCAAGCAGCACTACCTTCTTTCGCTCAACGGAATGGCGCGCGTGCGCGTGCTGGACTGTAACCCCGACCTGCCCGTCGTTAACACCGACATCACATACCGCAAAGTCGAGTACCCGAGCGCCAGCGACGGCGGTACGCCGTCGTCGGAGTCGGTAGTCAAGTTCAAAGCGGCGGCGCTGAAGCTTTTGGACCAGCTCGCGAAGGACACGACCCAGCAGGTGAAACGTGACTCGTACACGAAGGTCGCAGGCATGGTCGAGGAGGTGGAACCTGTGCGCTCTGCTTGGATGGCAGATGTAATGGTGTCGAGCATCAACGCGGAGTATGCTGACAAGCTAGGTGAGCATTCGTCTAGATATGCGTCAGGACTTGCGCCGTGCCACTATTCGCGTGCCTGTCCGAGTGCCGCCTGTCTTAGAGGACAGGTTTCTTGCAGGGTGCACACTCTCACTTGTGCCCCCTTGCATGCTGGGTCATGTTTCGTTGCGCTTTGAGTGGATTCGTAAGGACAAGGTGACAGTGTACACCTTGTCACTGTCTACCTTGTCCTGACAGCTCTTGCAGAACTCCAGAGCTATTCACGATGGAAGCCTGGCTACTCTATCTGCCGTGTTACTTCACGCGCGAGGGTGCTACAAACATCTAAGGCATCTCTTCGAACTGTTCTATTCTTCGGACGCGCAAAGGAGAATCTGTTCGCGGCTGTCTTGCCGACGCTCTTAGCCATATCTGAGACAATATTGTCGAGGGCTAAACTCCAAATGCCCTGAAACCACAGCATGGATTATTTGTGCATGCGAATTGGGCAGCGACCACCATGGTGCTGTGGCGTCTCAGTCGCCTTGCGGATTCGCTTGGAAGTTCCCGTTACCATGCCAGTCGCGTGGACCAGTGAGTAGCTCGCAAACAATTGGCCCATCTGTCGCGACATCGACTCACCGGATTTGATCGGCATAGGCTAAAACGGGCCTGCTCTATCTCGATTGCGACTATGACTCTTGCATATATGTGCGACGCGTGCTGATCGACCCACAGAATTCCTCTCTGCGGCCAACTCGGACGACCGCCTGCGCCGCGCGACCTCCATCTTTATAAAACAGTCCTCCATTTCCGAAGTCTCGAAGCGCATTGCGCAGTCCATCGACGAGTCGCTCTCGAAACAGCAGAAAGAGTTTTTCCTCCGTCAACAACTCGCTGCTATCACCCGCGAGCTCGCTAACCTTCGCCGCCAGTCCTCTTCACCCTTAGACCCTTCTTCCCGGATGCCCGACGACAACGTCCCTCACTCCGGCTCCGAGCTCGATGACGATGGTCAGCAGGAGTACGAAGAGATGGCCGACGTCAAGGCAAAGATTGAAGCCATGGCCAAAGACAGCGAAGAACGCAAGACGGCCGTCCGTGAGTGGAAGCGTTTGAAGCGCATTCCCCAAGGAAGCGTCGAGCACGGTGTCATCCGAAATTACGTGCGTCTCGCAGCATCCATGCCATCGAATGAACGCTTAAGTCGTTTTGACAGCTTGAATGGTTGGTTTCCGTCCCCTGGCCGAGTTCGTCGACGGCATACGCTGCCACGTCAACGGAGACCCTTCGTGATCGCGCTTTTCTGAGAAAGGCTCGTGACCAACTCGACTCAGACCACTTCGGTCTCGAGAAGATTAAGAAGCGGCTTATCGAATACCTCGCTGTCGTCCGGCTGAAGGCACTCCAGGCAGAGCTCGAAGCAAAGCAGCTCGAGGAAGCGCAAAAGGCCCAGCAAGCCGCTGTCGTACAGAAGGACAATAAGTCCGATAAGCCTGTGGCCGACGCGGCCCTTTCGGCTAGCACGGTCAAGAAGCCTGCACGGAAACTTGTCAAGGGGCCTATACTGCTGTTCGTGGGACCGCCAGGGACGGGTAAGACATCGCTTGGTCAATCTATCGCCAAGGCACTCGATCGGCCCTTCCAGCGCATTGCGCTTGGTGGTGTCCGTGATGAGGCTGAGATCAGAGGGCACCGGCGCACGTATGTCGCCAGTGGCCCCGGCATGATCGTTCAGGCTTTGCGCAAGGCTGGTCGACCAGATCCTGTTATTCTCTTGTGAGTCGAGAACGCGCCTGCTTGTTTGCATGTGTTCATGGGCTTCGTTTAGGGATGAGATTGATAAGGTCGGTCAGAGCAACTTCCATGGTGACCCTGCTGCCGCCTTGCTTGAGGTCCTTGACCCCGAGCAGAACCACACCTTCAATGTATGTCGCATTCGCGCGTACTCTATGGATATATCGCTCACGTCTGTCTCAGGACCACTACATCAACGTGCCGATCGACCTCAGTCAAGTGCTCTTCATCTGCACCTCCAATACCCTCGACACCATCTCCGCTCCCCTTCTCGACCGCTGTGAGATTGTGCAGCTGTCGGGATATACGTATAATGAGAAGACGCACATCGCGCGCAAGTATCTACTCCCGAAACAGCTGCAGGCGAACGGTCTGGCACCAGAACACGTTATCTTGCCTGATAACACGCTCATACACATCGCGACGCGCTATACGCGCGAGGCCGGCGTTCGTTCGCTGGAGCGCACGATCGGCGCCGTCGTGCGGTATAAGGCCGTCGAGTGGGCCGGGCACGTCGACAACGAGGCGGGCGTCGGGAAAGAGTACAAAGACGTTGTCGAGGAGGACGAGCTCGAGACGATCCTTGGTGTCCCGCGCTGGGATGCCGACGAGTGCGAACGTGAGGAGCGGAGAGGCGTCGTCTACGGCCTCGTCGTCACCGGTATGGGCGAGGGCGGGATCTTGCCCGTAGAGACCATTGCCGTCCCGGGAGATGGCAAGCTCAAGCTTACGGGCAGCCTGGGTGAGGTCATCAAGGAGAGCGGAGAGCTGGCGCTCAGCTGGGTGAAGACGAACGCGTACAATCTGTGCATCATCAACTCTCGGGGACAGGACCCGCTCAAGGTGCCAAATAGCTTCGACATCCACTTGCACTTGCCTCAGGGAGCGGTGAAGAAGGATGGCCCATCGGCTGGCGTTGCCATGGTGAGTACATAGCGTTTCCACGATCACAGCGACCCAAATTGACCATCTCTTCCAGACGTGCGCCTTCGTCTCGCTACTCACGGGAGCCTGTGTCCCGCCCAACATCGCTATGACGGGCGAGATCACGCTCCGGGGCCGCGTCGGCGCGGTCGGCGGGATCAAGGAGAAGGTGCTCGGCGCACTGCGGGCAGAGATGACGAAGGTCATCCTGCCGTACGCGAACCGGAAGGATGTCGAGCATGACGTGCCGCCCGAGGTCCGTGGCGCAATGGAGTTCGTGTTCGTGCGCACGATCGAGGAGGCTCTTGATGCCGCGTTCGGTAAGGGTGCGCTCGGCTGGCGGCCGCAGAACGTCCTCCTTGAGAGCCGACTGTAGGGGCCTCCATTCTATCGCACTGCTTTGTTCGTCGTTTGCTATGCTGCTTTCTTGGACCCTTTGGATACTAGTAGCCCGACGTGGTGATTTCGTTCCTCAACCTTCTCTTTCATCGCTGTATTCCCCCTCATCACGTATTCCTGCCCAATGATATCGACACATGTTGTACTAGTGTCAATTCCCTGCGCGCAGCCGCATAAGCGCAATCTTTCTGTGGACGTATGCTCAAACCTAAGCATCTCGCTGGCGGTGGGCCAACGGATCACTCGATCGGTGGAGCGGCAACCTACGGAACCAAAAAGCAAGTTTGGCTTGCCAGCAAATTGAAGCCTGCGAGGAGATTAGGCCAATTTTACATGCGTATGAGCTTGACTCATAGTGCGTATAAACTGAAGGTTGGGCGCGTACCGAGATTTGTGTGCGCGTACCTAAAGTTGTGCGCGTGCTCGAAGTTGTGTGCGTGTGCCCGAAGTTGTGTGCGCGGTACCCGACATGGGGCGGGCGCGGTCAAAGGTGCGCGTGAGAATTTTTGTACGAAGTGAAGAATCCCCTGAATAATAGCAGGAAGTCAACATAGCATAGCGAGGTGCGCACGGGGCGCGCACGATCGTTATCAGACATAATGTCATGCTCGGTGTGGCGCGCACATGTCATGCTGGGAAATGGGAAGGCTGCGCTCGGGGCTGCGCTACTAGTATATGCTGTACGCTTTGTGCGAGGGATCCCACGCGCACCTTTAACCGCGCCCGCCCCGCCCCGCCCCGCGCAGCCGTTTGTGCAGATGCGCGCATGCTAGCACGGGGCTAAATTTATACTATTTTGTGCGGATAGAGGTACAAAAGCACATTCAGTTTGTTTCATAAATACACTCAAGCTATTTCCCCATGGGGATGTTATCATTTTAGTGGTACAAAAAAGATACACTGCTTTTACACCTTTTGAGGTATTAGGAGAGTCGAGTTATCCTTAGGGCGAAATCATCATCATTTCTTTCTCCATGTGTATTACTCTATATATGGATAGCCCAGCGGTATTTGCATCTCTTTTTGCTGCGAGCAGGCCAACTTTTTACAACAAGATTTACTTAAAAAAGGCGACTTTGTTTTACTCTTATTTCCAAATTTTACCTATCATATATTTTCGCCAGAAAGTATTCAGGCTTTTTAGCTTCTTTTCTCGCGGTCATTTTCGTGCCTCTGTCAGCTAAAAATATTTATCAATTAGCCCCGTGTAGACCGCAAGCTGAAGGGCGCTTTGATTCGGCCCACCGTCAGACGGTCGGAGCAATGAGATGTTTCGGTCTTTGATTTTGTGTACTATTTATTGGAGCCATGGACTCCTCTGTAGGTAGCACTTTAGATTCAGGGAGAAAAAAAAGAATCCCTGATTCGGGCGCCATTCGGAATCGTTAATTCGGGCGCCACCCGGAAGCTCGCGGCGTCTCTTAGGCTAGGTGATGGAAGGTATGATCCTCCGCTGGGACTGTCTTGCAGCTCTCCAACCGCCATGGACTCTGTGCTCGAGCGAAGTATAAAGAGGCTGCCGGATATGCCAGTCTCTCATCGCCAAACCTCCCCGCCCAAACCTCCTCCGGATGAACGATTGCACCTCCTACTCTCCCGAGGCAGCCTCCTTCTACCCTGCCCAGGTCCACTACACCAGTGCACCAGGCTCACAGGACGAGGCTAATGCCTCCGTTCTCGCTGCTCTCACGAACGAGATGCCCCCCGACGCCACCGTATCTTTCTCGGAGGCTACATTACCGCAGCTTGAAGCCGATACCTACTACCCCGGTGTCGATAGCCAGGTCCAGGATTACATGCCTGAGCTCTCCATGTGTGTTCCCACTTCATTTCGCTCGAACTCATCGTCTGACGAGTCTTACCAGGTTCCGGCTACGAACTTCTACGCCGGGGCCGCTGAGGCTAGTCCTTTGGCTACCACTCTTGACGGAGAGCAGTGGAACTAATCCAGCATCAGCATGTCTTATGCCACCATGTCTCCCTCTTTCTCTATCATCTCTTCTTCCTCGTATCACGCACTTCAACACATCATCTCCACCCCATCTCAGCCGCAAGCCGAAATGTCTCCGCTACAAGACTTCGCCCAGCTCTCGCTGCACTCCGAGTACGCTGTCTCCCCTACCGCCATCGAGATGTCTCCATACCAAGCCATCGCTTCTATGATCCCCGAGACTCAATTCAACGCGGTACCTTCTGCCCCTGAAACACAATTGTACTCGACCTCTTCTACCCCCTCGAGTCTATTCTCCTTAAGCTACGGCAGTGCCTGCACTACCGGCTCGAACTCGACCGGATTAGGCTCCGCTCCCTCACTGCTCCAGAAGCGCACGTCAGGCCGGACGTGCAAGACCGCAGAGGCCTCCCCCGCCCCGCAGCACACGCCGAAGACGTGCCAATACTTCGCGCCGTCGAGTCCCTCCCTAACCTCGGCCAACTCCGTCGTTTCCCGCGCGCCCGCGATCAAGTACACTACGCGTCGCACGCGGCAAGTCGACGCAGATCGCGCCATCGCGGAGCCCGAGACAGACGGCCCAGGAGCGTACATGTGCCCGCTCTGCGAGCACCACCAGGCGAACCGACACTTGCCGGACCTGCGCAGGCACATCCTGGCACACTATCCCGACGCGCGAGTACATGTGTGCCGCGGCGTGCGCCTGGCCGCCGCACCGCCGGGTGCGGTCGAACGGTTCGGCGTGGTCGAGGAGGACGGCGGCGAGGAGCGCGTCGGCGGGTGCTACCAAGTGTTCAGCCGCCGCGACGCGCTCCTGCGCCACCTCCAGAACCCGAACAAAGCCTGCCTATATAATGCTGCTGAGCTTAGACGCAGGGTGCGGCGATGATGTGTCACGCGTTGCTTTGGTGTTTCTGCATAGGTCGCGTGGACGGTGTCTTCCTCCGTTTACCTCAGGCTGTTTTTGAACGCATCTTTTCTCGAGGCTACCTTGTTTCACCTCTCATGTATACTTCCCTCTCTGAGACGTCAAAAATTGGGGCGAATTAGTTTGTAGACCAGACTGAGGTCTATTCGAGTGTACTAGAATCCAAATATATTTGGAGGAGCTCTCATAGCTGCGCACTACAATATATAATTCCTTATAAGTGCTGGCAACAAGGTGCGCGGAGGGAGGTTTCCGGTGTCTTGATCCGAACCTTTAGCGCTTCCGGACGGCGGTCAAATGGACTCATGACGCCGGGCTCAATGGCGTGGGAACTCATTCGAGTTCCTGTCCTTCTCTCTGAGAATTTCAGGCGCCGTGAAAACAAGTCGAAATCCGGGAGCCAGAGCGTAGATCCAGACCTGAACGTATGCAATTTGGGATGAAGGAGCACACTCGCTGCCGTTTTCCGGGGTCCGAGGTACGGAATCTCGATCCTTGTTTGTTCCGCTCCAAAAGTAAATAAAGCTGCGACGCACATGGCGATCTGATGTTTCGTCAAGAGCTGTAATACTCCCACACAGCTACGATACACCGCTCGACGACATGGACACTATCTTATCGGTTTTGCTGTCTATCTTTCTGCTCTACTGCGTCAAGAAATACATCGACTACCGCGCAGTGATCAAATCCATACAGTGTGTGACGGCTCAGAAGCGGCAGGAGGCGATATTGCTGATCATATTCTCAAGTGATCATCCTGGATACCACACGCTTCTCCCGTCGCAGGGCCCGCTCGCCTTCCTACTCACGAACCCGATACGCGGGATCACCAGAGGTGGGATGAATATCTGGGATAGGAAATATCGGGACTTCGAAGAGTATGGCATGGACATAATCAGTTCGGTAAGGCACGCTGTACAGCCTCCCCACTTCTACTCACGTCGTCTAAGGGCAGGTCTCTGTTCTTCCGGAAGCGCACAATGTATTTGTGGTTGCCGATGCGGCCGCAGTAAAGGTACGCATCTTTCAGCTAAGGTGTATCTATTACAGCATCGACAGAAATACAGGAAATCACTTCGTCTCGTACCCAGTTCCCAAAGCCAGTGAAACTGTACACAGTGCTGTCCTACTTTGGCGGAAATATTGTCGCATCAGAAGGAGAAGAGTGGAAGCGCTACAGGAAGATCGCTGCACCTGCATTCTCCGAAGTCTGTACACTTGCATCTGTCCTATGTCTCCGCACCTTACGCCGTAGTATCTAGCGCAACAACAGGCTAGTTTGGGAAGAGACCGTCAAGATCATGGCAGACCTATTCGAGAACGTATGGGGTGATCAGAAGGTCATTACGGTGGATCATGCAGTTGACATCACTTTGCCGGCGAGTCCTCATCTCGGTGGCTGCGAAGCCTAGCTGACATATACGAAGATCGCGCTCTTTGTCATCGGCGTTGCTGGCTTCGGCAGGCGGATGACCTGGCAGGAAGACTCCAAGCTTTCCCCAGGCCACAAAATGACCTTCAAGGCAAGGGGCTTCCTGTCGTCTCTCTCCTTCATGTCTAATGACATCCTCTGCAGGAGGCTCTGCACAATTTCTCGCTAGATTTCTTTATTAAACTCACCACTCCTGACTGGCTCTTAAAGCTGGGCCTGACAGAGCGCATGAAGCGGGCTAACTTGGCTTTCCAGGAGCTCGAGGCATGTGTTTGACCGCTGCGATAATAAGCCATGTACTAATGCTATCGCACAGCAATATATGCTGGAAATGATCCATGCTCGACGGTACGCTGAGGAGAAGGAGGAACGATACGATCTGTTCAGCGGATTGCTGGACGCCAGCGAGGAAGAGTTCGACGGCGAGGCGAAGCTTACGGATCGGGAACTCCTCGGTAAGCGTTTGCACCCTGGTTTATTTTGATGCGGTGCTCATTAGATTTGCAGGCAATATCTTCATATTCCTGCTGGCCGGTCACGAAGTGAGCGTTAGAAGACATATCTGAGGCAAGAGAGTAGCTGATCATTCATCAGACTACTGCACATACACTGTGCTTCACGTTTGGGTTACTTGCGCTGTATCCTGAGCAACAGGAGAAGCTCTATAGGCATATCAAGAGTGTCATACCCGATGACAGATTACCCGCAAGTATCCAAGTCAGGTTTTCAAATGCTTAGAGCTGATGTCTGAATTGTTGACTACAGACCTACCAAGAGATGAATTCGCTAAACGAGTCAATCGCGTACGTGCACTATATTTCAAGCTCGCCTCAGCTGTTCATTCGCGCACCTCAGCGTATTTAACGAGACACTCCGGCTGTTCCCACCTGTAAGCCGCCCGTGGCACTCATGGAAAACACATATCCTCATGCAGCTTTACAGGTGATCGCTGTCCCCAAGTACGCCGCCGAAGATACTACGCTCGTCACTACCGATAGTAGCGGTAACAAGGTCGTCGTCCCTATCCCTCAAGGCAGCGGCGTTACGCTGAGCATTGCAGGCCTGCACTACAACCGTACGCTCCCTCGCATCGGCTATGCCTTGCCACACTGACGTGGTGCATCGCCAATTAGCCCGCAATTGGGAGGACCCGTACGCATTCAAGCCGGAGCGATTCCACGGCGACTGGCCGCGCGACGCGTTCCTGCCCTTCAGCGCCGGCGCGCGAGCATGCCTCGGACGCCGGTGCGTGTGCCTTTGAACCTCTCGCACCCCGCTCTAACGCGCATATACCAGTTTCTTCGAGACCGAGGGCATCGCGATCTTGACTATGCTCGTCTCACGGTACACGATTGAGATCAAGGAGGAGCCGGAGTTCGCGGGGGAGACGTTCGAAGAGCGTAAAGAGCGGATCTTCCATTTAAAGGGGGGTCTGACATTGACGTGAGTGAACTGGTCATTGAGTTAGCTGGATGGTGTCCTGACACTCTTAATGATAGGCCTATCCGGATGCCTCTGGTGTTCAAGAGGCGGTAGCGAAGCATGCTGTGCACTGGACCTCAAAACTAGCTCCACATATGAATATACTGCATCTAACTGTGTTAATGTATGCCACCCTCTTTTCAAGCCCAATACAGAACATGAGGACCCTTGTACTTAGGGGTTTTATCCAATTTAAATGCTGTTCATTGCTTGAAATAATGCATGCACATTGCATGGACTTTGAAATTAGTAGATAAAGCATATATATATATATTAAAATGTATGATACTGTATGCTTTGATGATTACACAAGGAGGCCTCCCATCAGTTTGAGATATGTTTGGATGCTTTTGGTACACATTTGACTTCTCGCATGTGGCTGACAAGACTAGATCATATTTTTACTATAGAATACAAAAGAAATGAGCGAGTACGGCCCAGGAATGGCCGAAGTATTGAGGGAGGAGCGCAGACGTCGGGGCAGACAGCGGGCACGAAGGGCGCGCCGTATGGAATAGCCGGGGGACGCCGGCGCTGTGGGACAGAGGAGACTTGAGGCTGAGGGCGCTGTTCTCCGCTGCCACAGGCACGTGTTCCCAGGAAGCCTTTAATGTGAGTGCTTCCCTGCCTCGTTCTGGGTGCCTTCCCCTGTGGATCCGCATCAGACTCAGATGGTCACATAAGGCGACTCGGAGACGAGTGGCAGAGCGCTTCGTAGCCGAAAGACCCTATCCTGTCTCCTCCATTGGGCAAACACATCAGACCCTACAGGGAGCGAGACGTAGGTTAGGTCCTGTATAATTCAGCATCTCCCCCGATCGTTGCTGTCCTCCGTCACGTAACTCTACGATCGTCATGGACGCTGTACTCGAGCAAAGTATAAAGAGATTGCCGGACATGTTACTCTCTCAACACCAGACCTCCTCGCTCAACTCCCCACGACATGAACTACTGCTCCTCTCCCGAGATGACTTTCTTCTACCCCATCCAGGTCCACTACACCGGTGCTCCAGTCTCGCATGACGAGATTGATGCCTCTGGTCTCGCTGCCCTCACGAACGATATCTCTGACGCTACCGTATCTTGTTCGGAGGCTACCCCATCGCAGCTTGAAGCCGACACCTACTACCCAAGTGTCGGTGATCAGGCCCAGGATTACATGCCTGAGCCCACCATGTGCGTTCCCAGATTGCTTCACTTGAGCTCATTGTTTGACGAGTTTGATCAGGGTCCCGGCTACGGGATTTGCTGAGGTTAGTCCCTTGGCCACCACTCTTGATAGAGAGCAGTGGAACCAATTAAGCATCGGCATGCCTCATGCCATCATGTCTCCCTCTTTCCCTGTCATCTCTCCTTCCTCGTATCACGCGCTTCAGCACATCATCTCCACCCCATCTCAGCCGCAAGCTGACATGTCCTCGCTGCAAGGCTTCGCCCAGCTCTTGCTGGACTCTGAGTATGCTGTCTCCCCTGCCGCCCTCGAGATGTCTCCATACCAAGTCATCACTTCTATCATCTCTGAGACTCATTTCAACCCGATACTATTTCACCCCGAGTTGTACTCAACCTCTTCTACTCCCTCGAGCCCATCCTCCTTAAGTTATGGCAATGCCTGGACTACCGGCTCAGACTCGGCAGACTTCGACTACACTTCCCCGCCGCGCCAGAAGCTCGCCTCAAGTTGCATGCGCAAGACCGCGGGAGTATCTCCCGCCGCACCGCGCACGCCAAAGACACACCAACACTTCGCGCCGCCGAGCCCCTCCTTGCCCTTGCCTAACTCCCCCGTTTCCCGCGCGCCCGCAGTCAAATACACAAAGCGCCGCACGCGACAAGTCGCCACCGATCGCGATATCGCGGAGCCTGAGACAGACGGCCCGCGAGCGTACATGTGCCCGCTCTGCGAGCACCACCAGGCGAACCGACATCTGCCGGACCTGCGCCGACACATAGTAGCACACTATCCCGATGCGCGCGAGCACGTGTGCCGCGGCGTGTGCTTGGCCGTCGCACCACCGGGTGCGGTCGAGCGGTTCGGCGTGGTCGAGGAGGTTGACGGCGAGGAGCGCGTCGGCGGGTGCTACCAGGTATTCAGCCGCTACGACGCGCTCCTGCGCCACCTCCAGAACCCGAACAAAGCTTGCCTGTATGATGCCTCGGAGCTCAGGCGCAGGGCAGGCACGCGCAAAGCCAGGGCGGCTGCTCCCACGGCCTAGGCGGGCCCATATAAGGGCAAGGCGGGATCGTGCAAGGTGTGGCAGTGATATGTCGCGTGTCGCCTTGGTATTTCTACATGAACTAAGTGGATAAGATTTTCTTCCAATTATCTGTGTTTCGAACGCATCTTTTATCGAGGTTATTTCGTCTCTCCGTTCATTTATGTTTTCCTTGCTCCGAACGCATCTGTGTATCGAATGCCAGTGGGTTTGCACTTTTCCGTGGTGGTGTGTGAGTCCATGTCTGCGACTTGGAGCTGCCCAGTTAAAGCGCTCACACTAGATGCCGTCGAAAACGATCGATCGGCGGGCGGAGAGTGCTGCATATAAGGGAATCATGGATAAATAGAAGCTGTAAAAACAAAAGTGCGTTGAGCACAGGCTCGGACGAACCAGGAACTCGTCGAGCAAAGCCTTGCAGACATGAGCCCATAGAGCGGTCATAGCTTATGAGGAAACGATGGACGAGTATAGGAAATACAGAGAATTAAATTACCGCTGTCAATGATCTAAAACTCTCCATGTGCCACCTTGGCCATGTGCAAACACTCGTATATTCAGACGAATTCAGAGTTACCGCAACACTTACCAAATGGTGATTTCCCCATGGAACGATGCGCAAACCTTGCCCGAGCTCACGAGCTTCAAGCCATTCCAGTTCGTGGACTACAAGCGAGTTGTGTAGATGGTTAATCTGAGCCGAGCCTGAGGGGCTGATGCCACTGAATGCACCTCAACCTCAACAGGACAGTAGGGAAAATATCCACATCATGGGTGTTCAGAGTAGTTCCTCGCATTTCTGTAGGCGACTCAGCCTGGCCGCGTATAAGCGAGAGAGAGCGTCTGCCTCGTGATCCGCCATCGTACCAAGGACTACCGGGCACTGGCAGCGGCGGCCTGGGGAAGCAGGCACGTATAGCTGCATCAACCCCCACAGCCACAGTATTAATCTACAACCATCTCTACTCGTTGTTGATTCATTCTCTGCCTTTGTCTGACGCGGGCTGATCAAAGAAGCCTGCTGGGACTTATGTCTCAGATTTGGATGCAAGCCAATGTTAGGCGCTCCCGGGTTTGACGCCACGAGCCCTAGTAGCGCATACTAGCGCACGAACTCGTCCAGGATAACAGGAAGATCAAACGGATACCTGACATTAACTTAAAATACTCGTACATGACTTAAAAGACATATATGGCACATTTGCAACACGAAGCTTACGGCGCGCGTGTGATACTGAATGCCATTTCATGGACGGTCAAGCTGGCATGGTGGCCGCAGGTGGCCCATTGCGTCTCAATCGCAGCGTGTTCCCTTTGCTTGCACAAATTAAATATAGCGCTCTGTTCTACAACGTGGGGCATGAGTATTGTTAACAAGGTGTATGCGCGACAAAGCCTTCACGGGCCCTTATTCAAGCGGCCCCTCCTGAACATGAATGCTCGCTGAATGCTTTGACCCTGGTTCTGCTAGTATTTTCAACGAAAATTTAGGCAGCCTACCCTCCTCATACCTTTACTCTCAGCATTAGTACTTGCCTTACCACACACTAGTTCAAGGATATCCCTCTCGAGATCCGCTTACTCCAACGCTCAAGACATGGTAGGCCCGCTTGTTCTGAACAGGGGGGGCATACAAATGAATAGTTCCATGCTTAGTTTCATTCAGCTGAGCTCTTGTCTCCTGGAAAAGAACTTCCTAGTCCGGTCGTTCCTCAGGCCTTCCTTGACCTGGAGCTGGGCTCCAGGCCATTGGCTCGCATAGAATTCTGTGAGACACCAAAACGCGCAGGGATACTCGTGAAACACCTGTCAATAATTGATAGCTCTAACAAGGCTGTCCAGTTTGGTGAGAAATGCTCACTGCAGAAGATAATCATCAAGGTATGTGCCGAGTTCCGACAAAACCTTTCCGCGCTGCAGAAGATCACAGTGGTCTGGCTACGTCGACGTGAACATCAATATCGACGGAGTGGAATACAAGCTCGGCATTCTCGCAGCTGCAGTTAATGAGGGACTCCTACAGGCCAGAATGGTGACACGCAGATCTCGTGAGTGCTGACATTCGGCTAATACGAATGGACAACCTAGCACTTGGAAAGCTTGCACTGCGCAAATAAGTCATGAAAATTCAGCTGCTCTGACAAGCTGTGGCTGGTGGAACTACGCCTCGAGCCTTGCATGTCATGGCGGGCAATACTCTGTCGCTATGCGAGGCAATAACTATCACTTGCGGCCCTGCAAAAGCCGCCATCCCGCTGGAATGCTAGGTTTCGACTTCGGGTCTCTAATCTTACACCAACGTAATATTAGTCTATACGCTCACATGTAGAGCGTCGTCTAATGAACACCATTAGTAACCACCGCACTGTGTGAGCATAAAGGGCACGGATTTACCGGAAATCTTCGCCTATTTGTCGTCTCTATACATACTGATGGCCGCGGCACTGAACAACAGGATTCTACAATTCTTTCGCCATATTTGTGATATCCAACACTAAGGCTTCCAGCGTCCACAGTCCTTATAATAGGCGCGTCTGACGCGTATCGCGTGGCGTGGCCGCACGCTCTGTCCTCGTGACCGTGTCTCGGATCAGATAAAGCTTATTTCCGGATGTCGCCGTCGAATCCTGGAGCAGTACCGTGCGGATATACGCAACACCTTCGGCTTCGTCCCGCAATAACCTGATCGTACAAGCCATAGAGAAAAGTGACCTCTTGCGCATGTTCTGAAAAAAAAAACCCTCCTTCGGCCTACAGATGGGCTGTACAACATACCTTGCATCCCTTTCATCCTCATCCATTCTCACCCTGGCCCGTCCGCTGGAGCTATCTGATAGTAAATACGCATACGTGCACGTTCGTTCAGCGAGTCTTGGAACTTGGAACTTTAAAATGTATACTCACATTGTAGATTGTTAGTAGAATTAGCCGCGCTTAGTTGTCTTATAATACTCGCTACGCGTTATTCCGGTCTTGGGATTGCTGAGGCGCAATAATGGCTAGTAAGTAGGTCGCGCAGACTTCAGCAGCAAATATTCAGGCCTCTACAATAGCCGAGCACTCTGGAGTTCACTTCGAGCAGCTCGGTTGGCCGTTGCTACTCACAACAGCTGCGAGAGGCACGCAACATTGGACTATCCAAGCACCTCAGGTAGACGCAAATATCGAACATAGCATAACCTACCATTAGGTCTCGACGCTTTCTCGCTGGCTGCTTGCATGCCCTAATTGTAGCTTGGATCGTGTCTGATCGCTAGTTCGATGAGGTCTTGCATCAGGAAACACTCAAAGGTGCAGACGAAGGCACTTACTCCCGAAAGGTCCGGAGCATGCTGGACCTTGATGGAATAATGCCGCTAAGCGCCAGCGTGCACATATCACTCTAGGTGTGGATTATCTTGTCGCATAAAGATGTAAGGTACTTAATTTATGGGTATAGGCATCTGTTGTATCCACTACAGGCTTATGTACTCATCAACTTATGTTTGTAAGGGCAGGTCAGACTTGCTCAATGATGCACTGCCTGTTGCCGCCGAAAGTCCGAGCTTGCAATGACGCTCCTTCGAGTACAATCGAAGTTCAGGTGGAGATTGAATGAATAGGTTCTTGTGCTACCCTGTACCTGTCTCTTGTATGCTCAGCAGCTAAATCACGCAAAGACATTGTAGCTTACTGGATTATATATGACGAGAACACAAGATACCCACGGCTTGCCCTAAACCAAGAGACCGTGGGCCGAATTGCGTAAGCGCCAGGAAGCTTTTTGAACCAACGTGTTAGCAACCTACAATCCAACTGGACTGGGCTACGACAAGGCTGAGGAGACAGACAAGAGGAAAGTGGGTGAGTAAAGACCAGCTCGAGTCTGGCTTGTTATTGAGCAATACGAGCTCCTTATATACATGTCAGACTGAATACTTAGAATATACTACAAATATACGAGGGTGTATAGAAAGTGAAAGAATATTGAGGAATCCGGGAGAACCATCCGGAATACGTGATATTCATGACATTACCCCTCTCTTTAGAATCGTGTCCTCACGATTATTTACCAGTAGATCCAAAACTTCCCGTGCCGCGCTGAGTTTCCGTTAAACTCGACACCTCCTCGACATTGCATGACGCAATACGTTCCAACACGACTTGAGCGATCCGATCTCCGGCGCGTACCTGGAATGGTTGATTGGTGGTATTGATCATTACCACGTGTACTTCTCCGGTATAGTCTCGGTCAATGACTCCAGCGCCAGTGTTAATCCCTTTGACTGCTAATCCGCTCCATGGTGGGATTCGGGCATAGGTCCCATGTGGGGCACGCATTGCTATACCAGTGCCAACAATTTTGCAACTTTGTGCCAGTATCTTAACGCTTTCAGCGGAGTAAAGATCGAGACTGGCGTCTTCTTCTGATCCACATTTCGGGAGAATTCCTCCCATTCGTTGCACCAGGAGAGTGGTATCGCGTGTGAGCATGTGAACGGGTTGTGTCAGAAGAGGGGGAATTTGGATTGTCATAGGCGCGGGTTTATCTGGATGTCTCGCATGGAAATCTTGAAGCAGTTCTTGACAATTGGTCAAGTTGGCTCGTGACTCCCAAGTACATCAATCACCATGAGGACTATTCTTCCAAAGGACTTGGTACTTGAGATTTCCATTTCGGTCACAGCGTGAATCGAGAATCTCTTCTACTTCCCATTCTTCCTCACCATTTACGAGGTCTGGGATTACGGGTGCGCGCTGTTGGGACGGGTATACAGGTTCTATGAATGGACTGAGAAGGCTTTCATTGAAGACAGGGTGTTGTTTCCATTGACACGGGAGTTCTAACTCATAGGCAGCGGCACCGACCTTGCGTTTGACTTTGAATGGTCCATACCGCTTATCGTCAAGTTTCTTCATTGGCCTGTCAGTTCGAATGTTGATCCCTTCTAACCAAACTTTGTCTCCGGCCTTGTACTCTGGTTCGTTCTTCCTCTTTCTATTGTAAAAGCATTTCATCG